GGCTTCAATTAAATTTATCCCTAAAGCTTTGGCCATTACATCTCTGCATGCATCTGCATATACTTCCCACTAAATTATAACAAATTATTAATAATACTCTTTTTTCTTAAGGATATTTTTACAAATTAAGATAAGTAGGATCAAATAGTCCTTCAAATTCAATAATTTCAACTTCATTAGCAAATTAATTTAAAGCAAATAATGTCATATAACCTATACCTATAACATCCATAACTGGATGAAATCTTCTTTTTGAATATTTTAGACAACAGATTTTTACAGGTAATAATGGATCAAATGCTCCTCTTTTAAATGGAATTAAACATTCTCCATTAGTAGTTGTACCCTCTGGAAATATTATTACAGGTGGAAATAATTATCCTTAATTAATCTATGTCACTCTTTCTGCTAGATCTGTAACACATTTATGTCTACTCTCTTCACTTTCTCTATCTACATAAATAGATTTTAATGATGTTGTTATCCATCCAAATAATGGATATTTACTTACTGTTACTTTTGACATAAATGAAGGTAGATATTTGTAAACATAAGTAATTGTATCATACCAACTAGAATGATTTGAAATTATTATAGAAGGTTATCCTTTACTTAATTCTGTTCTCTTGTAATCAGGAATAAAATCTTCAAATCTATATTAAATAATTATTAATACTTTTTACCTTAAAGTCTTTTCTTTAATGAAAATAAATCCATTAGCATAAAGATATGCCTTTCCAAGTGTTTATAGTAATGGTTTAAATGCTTTCAATCTAGATTCTGGCCAAGGATTTTTTAATTTAAAACCTAAATATAAAATTTCTAATTTTCTTACCAAAAGTAGCTACAAACATAGTCATGATGAAAAATATTAATATTGCAAAGCTCAATAATAATCTGAATGGAAATAAAATGATACTGCAGATGTACATTTCATATCTATTCCAATTATCCCTATCTGTTCTTCTAAATGGCTTATATTTTTCAGGAATATCTGCATTCTTATATAAAAAAGAATTGAATTTCTTTAACCCTTTGTTAACATAGATTATAGAGAGTAGAGCAGTCAAAAGATGGAAAATTGTGACTAAGACAGAAAACATTTTTTAATTTATGATTTAATTTATTTAGAATTAAATTTTCATAAATAAATATATAAATCTTCTTTAGGAATTCTATTAAAATAGTATTTAAATCAAAATATTGTATTGGACAAACTAAAAATGAAATTAAATTAGAAAAAATAATATATTCCAATAGCTTCTAAAAGGCAAAAAGCATTTTTTTTCTTCTAATAGTTTTAATATTTTTGTATTTCACCCCTCAATATCAACTACTTTGCTATTTGTGATTTTAACTAAATATTGTTTGATATAAAACAAATATTAACATTTCTTAGATTTTAATATAAGTATTAAAGTGCAAAGTTGTATTTAAGATTTAAGTATTAGTACTTTTATCATCTATTAATAATAGAATTTTATAAAATATTGTAATTTATGATTTCATATCTTATCTATAAAAAATTTATACAAAATAAATATTTAACATATAATTTGTTACATCATTCTTTCAAAAACTTGAAAACAATTGGAAGAATATTTGATATTGTATGTAAATTAATCATAATAAAATTCTTTGTTCTTATAAACAATAAAATAGTGTTAAAGAGGACTTTGAAATCCATTTTCTTACAATTATTCAATAGGAATTTATTTAAAAAAATATACTTTAAAATAAATTTAGAAGCAAATTTCAGTAACTATTTTAGACCCTAAATAATACTTAAAAGTTTGAATCTTTCTTAACTTATGATTTCATTTGTATAATAAAACAAATTTATAATATTTAAGTTTCATTTCTCTTCCTAAATTAGAATTCTATATGGCCTTACATCTTAAGAGTTATTAACAACAAAATAATTAATTGGTTTCATTTCATTACTTTATCTAATTTTTTTTGGATTCACCCTGGACATAAAATAAACCCTAAATTTCTTATTACCTGCCTAAACAGGGGATGTATATCCTTGACAAACTGATAATTTATCAGAAAAATAAATTCCATTCCCAACAGGAACTGTATTACCAAATTCATCTTGACACTAATAACCAGCATAAGCTTATCCACCCCCTGGTACTAAATTATTTTTAACAATTTAGTTTATAGCAAAATTTTTAGTACCATGATACAAAATTCTCCATTCATTAGCGTTGCCATCCATTTTTATCCAATCATCATTTCCATAATTTTTTACTTTTAATCCAAGTCCATAACAACCTCTGGGAAAATAATAATCATATCTATGATAAGGAGGTCCTCTTTATTCTTTTTCAGGCAAATTATCCCAACTCATATTGAATTGAGGATTAAAATCATCAGAAGATAAAGCTACTCCTGTGGAGTTTTTTGCCTAATTTCCTCCAGCAGTTCTTGCATTATCAAAGTATGTTACCTGTTCAACTTAACCATTGCAATATTCATTTAAGAATTTTTATCCTTCTGGTTTATTTTTAATCTGTTGTTTAATCTCATCTGAATTTTTTCCTGTTATTTAAAAACTAATTTCAAAGCTTCCTTTTGATACACCTAATATTTCAATTTAATTAATTGATATTAAGTGAATTTGATAATTTTTATTTAAATTCTACTAATTGTTGTTCTAATAATTGATTGTCATTCACAATTGTATTATAATCAAGATTTGTATTTCTAACCTTTAAACAAGATTAATCTGAACCATATACTCATATAATTGAATCAAATCCAAATGAATATTATGTATTTGTTTAAACTAATTCTCTATTTTAATCTCTAAATAATGATTCTTTTAAAACATAAAGTGCTACTTCAGGATTTGAAGCTTCAATATTTTATTTTACATGAGGTATTTCTTTTATTTCTCCTGAATATTTTAACTTTGTTAATAATTATTGTTAATATAAATGTTTTTAGAATTATTTTTAATTATTAGTAGCATTATTATTATTCTCTATTTTAATGATTTCTTATTTAATGTTTATATTTATTGTTTAATTGGTTATTAATTAATTTGATTTTCTATCGATGTTTATTAGGTTATAGGTTATATGTGTTACATTCAATTCCTATTAATATTCTACATCTAATATATTATATTGTATATCAGTTTATCATGAATATCACTTATGAAAAAAACGGCTAAGGTTCTCTAATTTTTAACCTGAATCAAATACCTGTTAATTAATTCGCAACAATGGCATTTTGCTTTTCTACAAATTTTTGTTTTTAACTACTAATTCTGTAATTTTAATTTAACTCTATAAATGTTTAAAAAAAAAACTTCAACAAGATTTTATAATAATTAAGATTAAAAATATATTTAGATATTAATTTTTGTAATAATAATTTAAAATATCATCATAATTGTTAAGAATAATCTTTGAAATTTATTTAAAAACC